CGATGGGGGGAGATGACGCAGGGCCACGGCTGCTGCGCGTCACGGCCAGTCATTGTATGGCGCACCGACAGTGTTGTTCATTTTTGTTTTTATTGGTTCTTGTCTATTAATTCTTTTCTGCCAGTGTTCATTTGATTGTCTTGTATGTTCTGGATAATGTGTGGGAGGGTACGCGTTTGTGGCTTGGCTGCGGCAGAAGTGAGCGCTTGGGTGTTGGAGCCCGCTGCGTGCATTTTTTTTTTTTTGTTTTTTTTTTCGTTTGGCATCAGGTGGTGTGTGCTGTCCCGAAGTCCTGCCTCTCTCCTCCTGCCTCTCTTCTCCTGCCTCTCTCCTCCTGCCTGTTTGTTTTCCGTCCGCTGTGGCACTGCGGTGCACGGGCGAAGTAGTCGTCTGGATTCTTTTGTGATGCGTCGCATCTCACGCTTTGCTGCGCCGTTGGTCATGGAGGACGAAGTTGTGCCACGACGCGTGGGGATGATGCCAGCCGCACAGAGCGCAAGGAGGACGTTGTGACGCCGTGGGGTGTTGCCGCCACGGGCCCGAGGGGTGTGGACGATGGCCGCGTCCTCGCACTATTCGGGTCGGAGCCCGTTGATGAGCCCCTTCTGCAGCGGCTGGAGGAGACACGCAACGGACGGGAGGAGCACGCGCAGGCAACCGGCACCGCACAAGGGGAGGCGGGACAGATGGCATTGCACCATTTTTTCCGCCGCGGCATTGTCTTCTCCCACAGGGATTTTGGAACCGCCCTTGACTGCGTGCGTGCGTCCCTTGCGACGGGGACACACCGCGCGTACTTGTACACTGGCCGTGGACCGAGCGCGCAGTCGATGCACATTGGCCACTGCATACCGTTTTTATTGACGCGGTACCTGCAGGATGCGCTCGGTCTTCCGTTGGTGATTCAGATGCCCGATGATGAGAAGCACTTCTTCCGCGACATTCCCGTCAGCGGGGAGAGGGCGAGCGGGTTGGTGGTGGAGAACATAAAAGACATCGTTGCCTTTGGCTTCGATCCACGCAGGACATTTATATTCCGCAACACGGTGTACATGGGGGACATGTGCCCAACTGTCGTGCAGGTGCAGCGCATGTTGACGCTGAGTGCTGTGAAGAATACATTTGGCCTGAAGGATAGCGACAATGTTGGAAAGGCAACCTTTCCAGCGGTGCAGGCCGCGCCGTGTTTTAGCAGTGCCTTCCCCTGTGTGCTACGACGGCTAGCTGGGGACCCGCCGCTGAAGTGCATCATTCCCTGTGCAATTGATCAGGACGCTTTTTTCCTCCTGGCACGCAACGTCGCGCCGCGTATGAAGTGCTGCGCCCCCGCACTGCTGCACACAAAGTTCCTCCCCGCACTGAAGGGAGCGCAGTTCAAGATGAGCAGCAGCGCCGAGGGGAACGGAGTCATCACACTACACGACACGGAGCAGGAGGTGCGGAAGAAGGTGCGCAAGGCCTTCTCTGGTGGGGGTGGCACGTTGGAGGACATGCGTGCGGAGGGTGTCAACCTGCACGCAGACGTGGCGTACCAACTCATTCGGTTCTTCTGCCCCGACGACAATCTCCTCGCGGAGGTGACGTCGAAGTACAGCAGTGGTGAGATGAACAGCGCCGAGGTAAAGGACCTCGCCGCGGATGTCGTTGTGCGGCACGTCTTGTCGGGGTGGCGGGCGCGGCGGGATGGCGTCACTGATGCCGACGTGGAACAGTTCTCTTGCATTCGCAGCATTCTTCTGTGAATGCCGGCAGGAGGGAGGAAGGGATGATGGGGGAGAGAGGGCGCACATGCAACGGGAGTGGTGTGGCTGACTGTGGTGTCCGTGAAGATGATGCATGTGGGTGGGGGCGTGTTGGTTGTTGTGGTGCCCACCGCGTATATTTGTTTGCTGTGGCTTCTGCTGGACTGCACGTGAACGCCTGGTGTTCCCCTTGCAGTTGTACAACAAGTATTTTACACCAACAGTAGATAGGGGACTATTAGGCTGCAATGGGGCGGGGGCCGCACCACGATGGCACGCGCCACGGGAAGGAGGGCCGCGGGATTTTCCGAGGAAGAAGGGGTGCGACACGACCCTACGAAAACGTTGATGGGTGCGGCATTTGCTGCGGGGATTGTTCAGAAGATGTAGCGGACGCTTCTTTTGCCAGGGGCTATGCCACTCGGGCACGTGACGCGCTACAGGAGAAGTGCATTCGATTGGCGTTTCGCAGGGCGTTCCCACACAACAACCGAGTGCGCGTGCACACCACGTTTCTCACCCTCGCTGGAGTTGATTTCATTCTGGTGGAACGCACCATCACTGGCTGCGACGACACGG